CGTTTGTCTCCAGTAATGGTCCCACAAGCCACTGCGAGATGACACTGGCCCCAGTTTCTTCTTGTTTCTAAAGTGGGCAATGAGAGTATTATCTCACCTGTACAAACTTTTCCATCTCCAGAATAACCAGGACTACAAGAGCAGTTATATGAGCCTACGGTATTAATGCACACTGCACCTGCAGTGCACTTGTACGTTCCCAAAGCACACTCGTCGACATCTAAAACGAAAAAAAAAGGTATTCTTTGTTTCTGTAACGATGTTATCTAAATCACCTTTTAACCATATGAACGCAGAATGAGTAAGACAAACAAAGTTGATTTCATTCGTCTCTTTTAAAAATATTGTTTCTGTGAAAACTCTCCGAACCAGACGTTAATTTTAGCTCATGATATGAGCAACTGCATTTTGATTCAACAAACAAATCTCATTTACTTTTCTCCTGCAAGGCAATTTATTTTCGATAAAAAAGAACGTGGTGCCATGGGTATGAGACTTATACAAGAGAAGATGGAGAATGAAAGAGTTACTGAAAAGGGAGCTTAGTCGGCCACGACGGCAAAGGTAACGAGAACGTCGCCAAATATTTGTTTTGATTAGTTGCACAATGGCCGTGTACGTGCGTTATAAATCGGTGTACATTATTCTTCTTGACCGTCCTTTGTAAACAGCAGCATGAAATGACAAAGGTTTCCGTATTTAGGTAGGGCTAATTTTTCGCATTTCCTTTTGAAATTGAATGTTGTTGTTATTAGTTATTTAGCGTGAGAAACTTTTTAGATCAAAAGGCACAGCGAACAGATCTAGGTGATGGCAAAACTGGAAGGTAAATTTAAATTCCTTTAACAATTGTATTAAGAGCTCGAGATTTCTAGCACGTGAACTATCATACATAGAAATCGAGAGCGAATAGTCCGCCAAATTTGTCATTTTACGTTGTTGTTTCGCAGACGACAGCTAAATGTGCAACGATCTACAACGCACTTGCATAGCCATGGTTTTGGTCATTATATTCTCTTGTTTGTTGAGGTTCTCGTTTCCGTGGCCCGTTTGTTTCAGCTCCAGTTTTCACTAAACCACCAGTTTCTCTCACCATTTTGACATTCCTGACCCTGGAATCCAGCAGTACACAAACAGCGGTAGCCTTTCTCCGTAAAACCGGTTTGACAGGTTGCGTTGTTCTTGCAGGGGCTATTAACACAAGCACTCTAAATAGGCAACCGCAAAGTATGTCAACATTCAATAAACGCGGAATAAACGCCACTAGTATCACCCAACTAGTGGACTAATGCAAATCCTGCATTTTGATTGGCTACGCTACTAGGGGACTAT